CCCCCCGTAAGGTTGTCTCTCTGGTGCGCTTAGAGCTTTGCGCAATATTAGTACTCACCAAGCTTATTACCGCAGTTATCAGCGCATGTAGGGATAGAGTTCACATAGAAAGGATATTTGCCTTTTCCGACTCCACCGTCGCCTTATGCTGGGTTCATTCTTCACCCCACCGTTGGGATACGTTTATCGCGAACCGAGTGGCCAAGATCCAAGACGAGTTAGAAACGCAGAACTTTTATCACGTGTCCGGTACGGAAAACCCTGCCGATTGTCTATCCCGTGGACTCACCCCGATGCAAATAAAGGACCACCCGCTTTGGTTCCACGGACCTTCTTGGGTTCACTTGGATCCCTCGCAATGGCCAATAACCGATTTCGAACCTTCGTCAGTGTCACAACCGCCGGAAGAGAAGAGACACGCTCTAGTGGCGAACGTTTCGAGCGAGGTTTCTCCAATCATTGCTTTGGCGAACCGCTTGTCCTCTTGGTCGAAATTATTGCGTAGCGTAATTTACGTTTGTCGATTCGCGAAGCTTTTACCGCGACGTTCGTATGTCTTAGCGTCCGATTACAACTATGCCGAGTCGCTAGTATTACGTGAACTTCAACGTGCTCATTTCTCGGAAGAAATTACAAGATACATACAATCGAATTGAGCTTGTAGTCGCGCCTTTCAACGCCTTAAGCCATTTTTACAGGATGGGATTGTAAGGGTAGGTGGAAGCTTGTCCAACTCGCAGTTGAGTTTCGACCAACGGCACCCTATAGTTTACCGCGTAAAGACCATATCATGAATTTATTAGTCGATTACCATCATAAATTGAATTCGCACGCTGGCCCCGACTTGCTGATGTCGATCTTGCGTCATAATTATTGGATTCTTTCTGCACGTAGTTTAATCCGCAATCGGGTGCACAGATGTATAGCTTGCTTTCGGGCACGCCCCAAGCCGTCATTTCCGGAAATGGCGGAACTTAGATCTTGTCGAGTAATACAATCAGTAAAGCCCTTTACGCACACCGGGTCTGATTTCGCTGGTCCGTTTAAGGTCACGCTCACTCGCGGGCGTGGTATAAGATCCACAAAGGCTTACGTCTGCATTTTCGTATGTCTAACCACTCGAGCGGTGCATATAGAACTCGTTGGTGATCTAAGCGCAGCAGGCTTTATGGGTGCATTTAAAAGATTTCTTTCCCGCCGTGGCCCTGTAAGTAAATTATATTCGGATAACGGTACGAACTACGTCGGTGCAAAACGTATTTTATCAGAACTACATGAGCTCTTAGCTAGCAAGTGTTATAATTCGGAGTTCGCTCACATTCTAGCCGAGAACCGCATTGAGTGGTCTCTGAACGTCCCAGCCGCGAGTCATTTTGGGGGCAATTGGGAGACTAATATTAAGAGTCTAAAGAGTCACTTATACCGAGTAATAGGAGATCAAATTTTGTCCTTCGAAGAGCTAAGTACTGTGCTCGCTCAAATTGAGTGCGTAATGAATAGTCGCCCACTTTGTCGTACGTTGTCTAGTGACCCTTCGGAGCCACTGGCTCTAACTCCAGCACATTTTTTGAATTAAACGCCTTTAAAGTATTTGCCCGCCGTAGATATGGATGAGAACAGACTTAGCATTTCCGCACGCCACAAATTATTAGACCGGTTAGTGCAATCGTTTTGGAAACGATGGAGGATGGAATACTTGCATACTTTGCAGTCTCGACAAAAATGGAACACAGCAACTGAGCCTTTAACTGTAGGAACTGTAGTTATGCTCACCAAAGAGAATACGCCGCCTCTCCATTGGCCGTTAGGAATTGTCGAAGAGGTCTTTCCCGGTTCCGATGGAGTAATTAGGGTTGCTCGCGTTAAGACCACGGTTGGGTCTTACCTGCGTCCTGTTGTCCGTTTGTGCCCCTTGCCTCTTCCATTATTGAAATTAGCTTTCTAGATTAAAAATTGTAGTTGAATTTAGGTAATCTTAGCGTTAGTTAGTTATTTTGTTAGTTTGATCTTAGCTCTAGTTGTTTTAGTTATTTTTTGAAGGAAATCCTTCAAGGGCAGGGGAGATGGTTGCGCGGAAAACCATTCGTATTTATTTATTTGACGGTAGGCTTGCCAAATCGTTTATCCCTTTCCAAACGATATCATTCATACCCTCCTATCGACACATCGGGGTGGTGGGGTGGGAGGGGAAAGAAGATGATTCTAGAATATTACGCAATCATCGCAACCGAAGGAATAAAAGGCACGCACGGCCGACGCGCGCGCTCTTCCCGCCGCGCTCGTCGTTGGAACCACACCGCCTAGGATAATGTTGTGTCCTAAAGAGCTCTTGCCCACGCGCACCGCTAGTATAACCGCTTAGCCCGAAGCAGTCGAGCTCCAGGAAACCCGCCTCACCTCGTGTGAGATATAGTCGCCCACCACCTCTCTCCAGAGAGTCTACCCAGAGTATCTTCCAGAAGTCACAAGCAAGCATAGAAGCAACACCCCGGTGAGTGAGCATTCCTTACTAGTTACTGCTTGATATAATTGTGTCCGCTCCAATTTATTTTCTCCTAATCAAGCAGGATTCCTTTCATAGATTTGGCAAATAATAGTTCGTTTTAGGGAAGAGCGAGTGCATTGTATGGGAAACCGCGTGCTATAGTCGCCATTTTATGTAAACGTAGAAGCATTTCGCATATACAGTCCACTTTGGTTAATATCTCGCGTAATAGGTTTAAGGCTCGACCGGGGAATTGGACTTCGGTAGCCTTAGGCTCGTCGCTCCACCAATGAGTCTTAATGAATGGTTGATCTCTTCTAGGCAACGTCTGGATGAACAGAAACTAAACGTTGGGTTATGTGCACACACACATTTGCCAAGGGTAGAAATTAAGTAATATTTAAAAAGAAACATTATTTTTTGTTGTATATTACAGTATACAAGAACTGTAGAAGGAACTACGGGAATCGGGAACTTGACCACTGGCGGATTGCTGTTCATATTTTATTGTATAATTAAGATACCTGCGCGTCAGAAGAGCCGGCGTTTTACCCACTACTAAGAAAATACACTTCCAACATATTTATTAGATACGTCTGATGAGTTAGTATACATTAAAATTAATAGAAATTAAAACGATGTATCACATGAGTTATATACATTTACATATTTTAAATAAATATCATACAATATCCTAAATATCTTAAAACAACATGATACTATCCCATACAGATTATAAAAGTACACTTCTGAACAAAGGTCTCTCCCATAGAGTGCCTCCTATGGGGGTTTTGCCGTCGTCGGCACACTAGGCAGGTTCATTTTTCTTATTTTAAGTGGTTATCAGTGAGACGCTGCTGCCCATCTCCTGGTTGGTTTTCGTCTATCGCCTTTTACGACACCCACGGTACGATGTGGGGAAGTCAATATTCTTTTACGACACCCACGGTACGATGTGGGGAAGTCAATATTCTTTTACGACACCCACGGTACGATGTGGGGAAGTCAATATTCTTTTACGACACCCACGGTACGATGTGGGGAAGTCAATATTCTTTCACCGCGACTACACCATTAATACACGAAATACATAAATAATAATTAATATTTCTGAATTTAATAAAAAGTAAAGTAATATGTAATAATTAAGACGACCAAGATGACAATAATTGATAGAATCAGGCGTTACTTTGCGGAAATCCATTATAATAAAGATATTAATAGTTACTTTGCAACCATTCGCTCAATTAACTAAAATGATGTGTCTTACCTAGTTTGAAGAGCACCTCCCACCCTCCCTCAATCGCGTGCACTAATCCTGTCACCCACTAATCCCAGATAAAGCTGACCGCTAAGAAGCTCTTGGCGAAACACGTGTCGTATTATCATCGATGGTGTGTCTTTCCTAGAATAGTGGTGTTGGAAGTATTGATGTTGGGAGTAGTGGAGCTGGGGTTAGTGGTGACGGAATTAGTGCACGCAATTGAGGGAGGGCGGGAGGTGATCTTCAAACTAGGTAAGACACATCATTTTAGTTAGTTGAGCGGATGGTTGCGAATTAACTATTAATATCTTTATGAAGATGACGATAACAGATAGCGTTCAGTAGATAAGGATTAAAAATTAGTACGCATCGTAAAAATGCTTGTTTTGTATGGTGAGTGATGAAAACCGGAGTTACCCTTTTTATTGATAAAGAAGCATTTTGTCTTTATCGCCAAGAGTTACAAGCACCTATGTTTTAATTCTTGGGTAAGGATATATATTGATTTCTTATAAGTGAAAAAAACTTGTTTTACGGTTTTACTTATTTTTATATCCCGATGTTTCGGGTGCTTATAACGGATGATGTAAATCAGATGAAGGTGTAAAGTAAGATAAAGCTGTAAAAACCTAAAAGCTAACCGCATTAAAAACCTAAAACCTAACAGCATTAACATCTCATAATAACGAAGAAGAATAAAGGTGTTAAGTACCAACCTTGGCTTGGCTTCCAATCAATATGTGATCACAGGGGCCAATTCAGAAGCCACGTAACCATGGATGCTGCAAAGCACCTGAAGAGTGGCGAAGTGGCGCTCGAACCGTTCGGACGTGTATCGTTGCTCGCACGGTTGTTATCGGCTTAGAAATTTTTTACCTGCGTCTGCGGCAAGCCTAGCGGGGGCAGCCGTTTTTTTTATAGGATAGGATGACAAACGAGCACACAGTCCACCTGATGGTAAGTGGTTGCTATGGCCCATAGACATCTACATTTATCCTCGATTACGAATCAAAATGCAGATGCGTTGTCATCCGTGAGGACTTAGATGAAATGCCTCGTTTCCAGTGAAAAGGGTCTCCGGTTCTCTACACTCAACATACGAAACACAGCAGCATTAAGCTCCGTCCCCGGTCGAGCCGACCCATTCGTGCTACAACTATACTACTAATATAACTGCAGCATGGCTCTACCACGTAAAACTACGTTTAGTTGAACTATGAAAACCGTGCCGTACCGTTTAGTTGAACAATAATGGAGGCCGATCTTCTTTTTACTGAGTCAGCGGGTGAAGAACCAATACTAGATGAAATGTCTGATCTTTTGCATGAGCAAATAGACTACGAACCTAGCCACATATTAGGCAAAAGAGGAAGGAATACTTCGCCTTCGCCAAAAAAAGCTAAAGAAAGTGAGCAAGAAGGAGACTGGGAAGAAGTGAAAAGCAGTAAAGAGAGATCTAAAGAAATAAGAGGTAGTATTGAAGTATGCATAACGTCTAAAGAGAAGTTCCCGAAACAGTTTACCCTTGCCAAGTTATTTAATAAATATTCATAATAATATCTTAAATATTCATACAAAATAATTCTAGAGCTATACGGGGAGAAAGATGATGATGATTTATTGATACTGTTACGAGCTTAGGGTTCGTGACAATAAAAACTGCCGATTGAATTACCAAAATTGACACTTTAATTACAACACACTAATAATTAATCACACTTAAAATTTAAACTTTAGTTCGCAGTTATATCGCTTAGAAGTATTCGCTTGAATTGCCAATTCAATAATGACGCCGGTCGCGGTCCTAAACGCTTTTACATAGGGTTTTTTCCACTAAAACATCTAGAACGTTCGAGCACATACCGGTCCCGACCGACTATTTTTAGAAAGTTCAAGTAGGGAATTTTCTAGAAAGCTCCCCTAATTCTGCTACTCGATATTAGATGGCGCTAGTGGCATTAATTATGGTGCGTAACAATACAGTGTGATCAATTGTGGAATTGGACTGGATGTTTCAGCGACCATTTGAAGTAGGACTATCTTATGGTGTGATTAAGACGACACATCGAAAAGGCTATCGCCGTACTGATCCGAGTGAATACATAATTTCTATAAAAACTTGAAAAAACGCCATCATAAAGTCTAAAATAGCGAAGCGCCCGCGACGATTAAAAGCGCTTAAAAATTGTCAGAATCTTAAAATATATTTTTTAAAAATTATTGATTTAAGTAATCAAAATATACAGAGGCAAGTAAATTGATTAAGCATCACAAAGCTGGGAATATAAGTCAATATAAAAACAACAGTAGCAAATAAAACTATCTTTTTTCTTAATGTAGTTAACCAGTAGAAGTCAAATAACTAATACTTATTGTAAGCAAAAGTTAGCATGAATCTACCTAAAATAATAAATTTCTTGTTTCTAAAATAATTCACATGCAACAATTCAAATTTAAATTAATATTAAAATGTCGCAATTAGTACATTGTTCAAGACATCAATTATTTTAATAGGCTGTATCATTGTTATACAACTTACAAGTTTATTAAATTGAGCAGTTAAGTACTTAAGTATTTGTGTAAAAGGAAATGTTGTCCCTTATGTTAAAAATACCCATAAATTCTGAATAACCAAGGATAACAAATAAAACTAAACAAAATTGAAATAACCGTTGTAATAAGTTATTTGGAATCAGATTCAGGATCAAGATGACAAAATTCATGGGATTGTACAAGAATTATTTACATAGAAATCGTAATGAATTACTGAAAAGATACCATTGTTACATTAAATCATTTCATTAAATCATTTCATTTAGCTTTAGGATTTGGCAATACATAGCTATACAATAGGGCAGGGGTGGCGAACCTTTATGTATCAACGTGCCATTTTTCTAATCATCATTTTTCTAAAGAAATGAGGACATGACCACGACCGAAAAATCACGAAGTCATAATTATTTTAGGACGTGCCCTAAAATAATTATGACTTCGTGATTTTTCGGAAAATAATAATACTAAATATGTACTATCAATTCAAAACTCTTTAATCACTACAAAAAAAAAACATTTTGCAAGGTATAATAAATAATGTTTCAGTTATACGCGTAATTCAAATTAAAGTTACTGTAGATTTTGTTGTTGCAGATTAGATGACAAATAACTTATATCATTATCAGTAAACTGTAGTAAACTGTATAAGTAGTAAACTATGTAAAGCTACCATAACTTGAATGGTCTAAGACAATAACAAACGAGCGTGCTTCTCTCCCGCCGCCACTGAACCGAACACTCCATACCGCAGGATCACTCACATTCGTATTTAATATAATACTCTCCATAGTGAACTTTGTGATCAGTAGCGTGCCCAATATTGTGTGCCGCGTGTCACTGATGGCACGCGTGCCATTGGTTTGCCATCCCTGCAATAGGGGGACATCAATTTTATCTACTTGTCTTGTCTCACATTATTCTAAATTGTAGTACTTATATATTCAGATTCATAAAAATTACATTTATAATGTAGCTTATTTAGGTCAGTAGGGTGAACCTTTATTTCTTTTGTTTTCGTCAATTGCACACCATCACCGTATTTTTTATAGAATAAGGGTGACAAGTGACCACACAGTCCACTCGATGGTAAGTGGATGCTGTGGCCCATGGACATCTACATTTATCCTCGATTAAGAATCAAAATGCAGATGCGTCGTCACCCCTGAGGACTAAGATTGAATGCCTCGTTTCCAGTAAAAAAGGGTCTCCGGATCTCTACACTCACCATTCAAAACAACAGCAGTATTGAGCTGCTATTTTACGCTGGTATTCCGTGAGAGCGTGTTCCTACACCGGTTGAGTCGACCCATTCATGCAAAAATTCTTTGTCCGATTTTTTTGGCTATAGTTGACTTAAAATAAAAATAGTATTGGTCTATTCCAACAACATTATTAGGTTTTCCGTCCTGTTTAGCACCGCATTAATATGATCTGATATGGTTTGATACATTTTTTGATTATGACATGAACGCTATCACCTTTCGCTGGGTATGGATATTTTCTAAAAATGTGTGTTTTATAGTGACATTTTATTTCTGTGCTAGTATGATATACGCAGCAAACATTTTTCTTTTCCAGTTTTGTCCCGCAGAATTGTCTAAGCTTGGTTTCTACTCCTTTGAATATCTCCTTTGGACCTCTTTTGCCTCTTGCGCTTTATGGCAAGTGGCAATTTTTTAGCAATATTAAAATTCATAGAACACAATTTTCTTTCGTAATAAAATTTGTTTACTTCACTGTAAGTAGAGTTTAGGACCTCTTGCTATAGTTTTATTCAAAATATGAGAAGCATAACTTTCACGTTTGATGTCTGTGCGGGTTTCATTGCTCGTGTATATGTAACACATGTCGCACTGGTCCGAGTGACTACGAGCAATCGACCTATTAATAATAATAATAATATAATATAACACTTACGATTATTAAGGAGCTCTCCAGAGAAGTTTAGCGGTTTTGGGCGATTGTGTGTATGGTAGAATGGGTAGAATATATTCAAATTGCTCGTCTTAAACAACATATTTATTAACCGCGTACGTAACAATATGATTAAGTCCTGCTTATTGACAACATAAGACATTGATTTCTATGTTTACGTGAAAACAACATTTAAATCAAATTTTATTGCGTATTTATTTGTTTACATATCATCGCGTGTTAACTTAACTTTAATACTAATATGTACTTTAAAAATACAATCCCCCCCCCCCCCCGTGACCATGGGTGGTGTAAACTGCTCGAAACGTCGGAAATATAAAATATGTAATAAACGTAATAAAAAACTAGTCTTATTTAAACATACCATATTGTGAACGATAAGGACAGTATTGAAATTGTAACGAAAATAATATTTGTTTTATATCTCGTAATAAACGCGGGCAAAAATGCAATAATCCCTGAATGCTTTCACTAAATGTGTAAAAGTCTTGTTCGGATATTAAATGTTGAGGAGAGCTTTCATGTTGTCAATTCAATGCATCCCACAAAGCAGAAGCGATGGTAATGAAACTCTTTGTTTATTAAAATCTTATACTATCATAAAATAAATAAATAGGTAAGTTCAAATTTAAAAAAAAAAAGTTAATTATTTTTAAGTGTCCTAAATTAATGCTCAATGTCTTTAATTATGTTTCAAAACCGAAAGGTCTTAAAATGAATATGAACAAGACAAAGGTCATGTGTAACATCCATATCGCCTCTATGTTGGCAATTGTTGGGTGCACTATGCTCGAAGTTATTAACGAATATGTTTTCCTAGGACAAACTGACTGAGTAAGTCCAACTTCAATTGAGAGGCCAACTGACAGCTCGTCAGCAACTCGTCAATTTTTCCTCAAAACTTGAAAACACTGATTATACACTGCACAACCAGTACGTAGGTTACCATGATGACACTTTAATCCAAGACGTATATACGTAGACGTATGGGCATAAAAAAGTGAGAAAGGTGTATCAGGATCGTTCCAAATGGAAGTTCATAGTCTCTCTACCTCTCTCGCTACTCCTCCAGGTGACGGACGTGAGGGTTAATGTAATGTTTATTTAGCATAGGACTACACAAATGTTTTTTATTTCATCAAATCATCATTATTGCAAGAAAGATTGTCTGCAAAACGATTGGACTGAATTTGAAATTGCGATTGAACATGTCCTTAATTTTTTTAATAATTTTAATTCAAAAATTATTCAATTCAATAGCCCTTTTATTTATTTAATAAGCGCATGACGGCAAAACTCGTCGAAAGCGGCAACGCACACCCTTTCAACAAATGCAAGAATGCTTCTTGAATATATTTTTATTACCTTATTATTCAATATTATTTATCTGGGTAGAGGTACACTGTTAAATAATTAAGGAGACTTTTAAATAATAAAAATACCATTAATACTATTAACATAAACATATTCCCGTTAACTTTTATACGTTGTAGAGCTTATGTGTGAGTTTGTTGAACTTTTTTAGGTGAACCAATTTGGTTGATTCCATTTTAAATTCGAAATTTGAACAAGATCTGACCAATAGTTTTGAGTTATCTTTAATAATGCGTATTTAATTGATTTCAACTACATTGACGATGTTCTCATTTTATTTATATTAAAGTTGGTTGTACAATATTTTTAATTTTACCTCTTGTTTATTATATTACAGCAAAAAAGAAATAATTAGGAAACCGCAATTTGTAATGAGTTAACGAATCCTGATTTTTTTTATCTATTCTCGCTGTACAAACAATATTTACCAGAAATTTGTTTTTTTTTTATAATGGCCGATTAGATAGAGCGAGGTCAATGAACTGAGTAATTGTTATCTCTATAATTAACATGTCAGGGAGCTTCACATTTACTGTCCGTATTTCATGCCATATTTTCAGGATCTGAAAAGACAGAATTGAGAGAATGAGGCGAATGCAGGCTATCAGGAGTTTACGTAATTAAAATAAAATATATAAATGAATTTATAATAAACAGCGTTTTTTTTTTTTTTATAGAAGAGGGGGCAAACG